CTTATGCTTATGCATACTTTAAAAAAAGTTTAAATACAGAAGAAAGTAGTTTAAAATACATGCTACTTAAAGTCAGGGGTGACAGTTAAGTTTGTACACTTAAAATGTACTTTCTAAAGTAAATAGAAATTTTAGAATTTTCTTGCCTTTGAATATTTTTAAACTTGAACTTTTCAGAATTTGTTTTAAGTGTATAAATATATTTTAAACCTTTAGTGCAAAGAACATAGGCTTTGGGTTAAAATCAAGAAAATATACGTAAGAAAAATAGACTAAAGTTGATTTCAAGTTCTACGGAAAACTGGAGCCAAAGAGCACCCCAAGGAGTATTGGATGGCACGCTGTCCTGAGTTAAGCATGTAACCTTCTGAACCAATTTCATATTTAGTCTCCTCTAGAATTTTAATAGCAATCATCACTTATATTTTTGTGAATCTTTCTCTTATTGATAACAGTACATTCCCTTTCAATGTTCCAAAGAAAATGTTTCAGCTTAGTAATACAATAGAGAATTTTTAAGTAATTTATTTAAAAAGTGGCACTGGTAGAATTTCCTAATACCTAAAAAATATTTATGTCCTAACAGTTTTCTCAGAATAATGCTGTCACTATGTAATACTGCAGTGGAAAGTACTTCCAATTTACAATTTTTCTCATTCTCCTGTGAATTATAGTAATGAGTCAAAGCTCAGTTAGAAAAAAGATCTATAAAATTTAATATAAAGGTCTCAAATGTGATAGAATTTGGCTGATATATATCTGCAATCATGGTAACTTTCCTGAGCTTTATGGCCAATTTTGCACAGAACAAATAAACACTTATGAAAAATATAAATCCAGGAAATCTGTGATTAAATTGTTGCCTTAATATATATTCTAAGGCCTAGTGCTGATGCATTTTACTTGTGGATAAAATTATAGTTTATACATATGTGTAAAGAAAAACTAAAGTGCTCAGAATTTTTTCAAAGCAGAATGAGAGGCCATTAGAGGGTTTTAAACAAGGAATGACTTGATTTAATTTACATATTTTTAAAATCTGACTGCTATGTAAATAACCAAAGGACATAAATATAGAAGAAAATCAGCCATTCCAGTTGTTCAGAATTAAAATATAAATGAATATGTATATTTATATATTTAAATATATTACAAATATATAAATGTATATGTCTTTAAAGTCTAGACTTCATATGTATAAAGTACAATTTTATCCACAAGTAAAATACATCACCACTCGGCCTGGGAATATATATTAAGCAGCCATGTGACAATAGATGGAGGGGTCAAGGAATGTTCATATGCTGAAATAACAATAACACAATGGAAGAAAGAAATTGGTATCTCAGGAAGAGAAGAAGAATCATCACAGGAAAATGGTCCCAGGGACACTTACTTCATCCACAAAATAAAAGAGATTTGATAGTATATGATACTATCAAAGGAGTTAGTAGTTTGAGTATTTGAAAATGGAGAGAATTTCTGCCTTTGTGTTGCCCGTTTACTTTCAGAAACTAGTGAATGTGGTGTCAGGAAAGTCATAGACTTTGCAGCCCTTTCCTGCCCTTGAATATGATGTCTTTGGCATAAGACCTGCATAAGTAACAGTGTAAAAAAAAAGAACTTCAGTCCATTTCTATTTCCTAAGACTGTGTGTCCAGATCATTATGAAAAATGTAGAAAGAGAAGGGATAAAGTTGAAAAAGAGAGAAATTGTGTAATACTTAATACTTTTTTTAGAGATAAGAAAGCTTAAATGTTAATAACTCGTTGTAGGAAAGATTTGAAACGATGGCTGTGTCTTCATGTAAAATTTAAAATTCTAAACCATGTGTGAAGAAATCCAATAATATTCTGATTTTTCCAAAAATAACCACTTTTAAATTTTTTGAAATATTAAATTCTTTAGTCTTCTAAAACTTTTTTTGGTGCCCCTGCATTGCTGGTGCTCTAAGCACTCTCTTTATAAATAAGTTTTACTTGGCCCTTTCAAAAAGAAGAGTGAGTGCCTGGAGATAAAATAAAGTGACTGGCTATTTCAGAGGAAGAGAGTCCCACACAAGGAACAAAGAAACAGGAGTCTAGGATGCTAAGGAACTTTCTCCCACCCCTAATTTTGCTCAGGATTAGTTTAGACCAGGTGGCCACAGCCATGCCCCATTTAACAGGCAAATAGGAAAAAATGTCTGCCAGTACTCAAGTAGAATTTGTAGCGCCCCTTACAGAATGCATATAAGACTCATGCCAATTGTTCCAGGTGCTATCAGCTAACTTTGCTGCTTCTTATGCAAGGAAGTACAGAGCAAGAGAGAGAACTAGTGTGGAAAAACACGAGCAGTATATGCATTGAAAAAATAGAATCTTTATTAGCTAGCAACAGATTAATACACAGTAGAGGAAAAAAACATTTAGAAATACAAGAGGGCACATTATTGAAGACAATTAAATAGAGATTGGGTTGTTTGTCTAATTCATGTACTGAATATTCATTAGGTAAAGTGTCTACTTCATATAATCAGTATCAGGTACTGTGCTAGGTACATATTCAACAGTATCTTCCATTTCCTGGACAAAGTTGTCATACTCCTTTTCAGTTAAAGTGCAAACTTATTTAAATATGTTCCATGCGATCAGAAACAATCCCAGCACATCTAGATCATGTGTGTCCATCCATTCAAAGGCAGAGTTTGCCCAATTCCTAATAGCCAGGGTTCTAGTCCTAAATTTGCCACCATTAATGCCATATGGAAAGCAAGGACTCTCTGGGTATGTTTTTCTCATGTAAAGAGAGAACTTTGGATGAGCTGATCTTGAAAACTTCTAGATTTTTTGGTCAAAAAATTTTATGGTTTGATCAGCTTTATCAAAGCACTCACTTGCACCTCTGATGCAGTGGTATTCTCCCAAAGTCAGGTACTGCTCAACTCTAATTATGTGTATATGTATTCTTTTTTTAAAATACATTTTATTGATTATGCCATTACAGTTGTTCTATTTCCCCCGCTTCATGTGTATATGTATTCTAATAGATATAGATGTCATTTGACTAGAGTCCTTTATAATGTATTGTCAAATGTCTTTCTTCAAGATGATTCTATAAGGTGCAATTTATAATTTCCATCTTAGAGGCAAAGGCAACTCAACCTATTAGAGATTACAAAATCTGCCAAGTAAACCACAGAGCCAGACCACTACCAGATCTTGTGAGTCAAAGCCAAGGGTACTCTCCACTAAACACAGCACAGCAGGCTGCATTTTGCTATTCAAACTATATGGGGTGATAAACAAATAATCAATAACTGAGTCAAGTGCTTTTGAAGCGTTTTTTAAAATGGAAAATCCAAAATGTGTAAGACAGGGACTTTTAAAAAAGGTTGAGATATTAGTTATGTGTTTATGATCCTCTCCCCAAATGAATCCCCATGTTGACCTTCTAAGAAAAAGGGATTATTGCTTGCCTAGTCAGCCATAGGAACTTAATTGGGCCCAGTGGGGAGAGACTAGAAAGGGCAATTGCCAAAAGAGTGCCGATTGCTTTCTATAAGAAAAGTTGCCTGAGGGAAGCAAAATCAGAAAGTATATAAAAAAGAAGGAAATATTACCTTTGCAACAGCATGGGTGTATGTGGAGAGTATTATGCTAAGTGCAAAAAGCTGGTCAGAGAAAGACAAATACCATGCGATTTCACTCATATGTGGAATCTAATGAATAAAATAAACTACCAAACAAAATGCAAACAGACTCATAGATACACAGAACAGGCTGACAGCTGTCAGAGGGGAAGAAATTTGGGAGCTGGGTGAAAAAGGCGAACGGATTAAGCAAAGGAAAAAAACTCATAGTTTACCAGAGGGAAAGTGGGGTGGGAGAGGTAGAAGTGTTTATGGGGATGAGGGATAATGGTTGTGAAAGGAGACTTGACTTGGGGTGGTGAATACACAATACAATATACAGATGATACATTATAGAATTGTATCCCTGAAACCTGTATAATGTTATTAACCAATGTCACCTCAATAAATTCAATTAGAAAATAAAAAATTATGAAGCTTTGAGAATTTATAGAGAAAAAGGGATTTGAAGTCAACACATACTATAATGTAAAAGATTTTGAATAGAGAAATGAGCTAAGAAAAATTTAAATATATTTTTGCCCAAACTGTCCACAAACAAGTCCATTTTGTTTTGGTTACCATACAACAGATAAAAGTTGAGTTTCTCTGCTGAGGTATGTAAAGGCACACAACCTGCCAAAATACACGCAAAACCAACTGCTTCCATGGGAAGCTTTCTCTTTGTATCTCTGCAGACAGTTCAATCTTCTAACAGTAAAGCAATCGAATCAGGCTTAGCTCTTAACAAAGGCAGTTGCTTATAAAAAGTGACACCTGGAAAGTTAGGAGACTGCTTTTCCTCCGAATTATCTCCCCACAAATACTTCCTATTAGCTAAGATATCATCAACAGGGATAATAACTCTTTATTTCACAATAAAAGTAAAGGATTAATTTGATCTATTACAAAGACTATATGATGTGCCTCCGATGTTATATTTAAGTATAGCATATATGATAATAATGTGATGAAGGCAAACCACCTCCCTCATTCACTTAATTTAGTAGGATAACAAACTTGATGATATTGAATTTAATCCAACTTCATTTTTAAAAATTAGATATTTCTATGAGGACAAGAAAAAATATAATATAAAGTAATCAATTAAACAGAATGTAATTTCATAATTTGCATTCTACATGTTATACATATGGAAAAACATATGTTTGAATGTTCAAGTTGTATACGATAATGCACTAAAGAGTTTGGGTGGAATTAAATGAAAAGGGAAAGTATAATTATGACTGAATGTATTCAGAGGAGAACACTGCGGGGTAACAGAGAAAGATATTATGCTATCGAGTTGGCATGGTGGTGAGATAGTCAGTAATTTTACTAACCCTAAATTCTGAGTGGAAAATAATTTCAAATTTCATGCTTTCAAAGGACAGTGAAGACTGAAGACCATCAGCTTCCAAAAATGAGGAGAAAAAGAAGGAAAGCCTATAAAAAATGGAAACTCTTGAATTCTACTATATGTATGTCCAATTCATTTGTTTTATAAGTATGTATAAAATGAACTACCCAGTGTATGTACCTATCACAGGAATGTTTATAAAAATAGGAATACAAATGCATGTAAATGTTATAAAATGATTTAGAAGTTTGGTCATAGTTATTATGTATATGTTATGTATATATGCCTGCATTAATTATTAAGAATATATATACTATGAATAAAAATGTAAGTAAAAGTATTTATTTATTCAGACAAAGGCTATTAAGACCTCAATTCTTAGAATCTGTGTCTAATATATTATTATGTATCTATCTCAGGTCTATCTTTCTGCTTGCAGAATTGAAGTGTAGTCAGTTGAAAAAAGCTCTAAATTATAAAATTGAAAAGGGCTATAAACTGAACTGCTCTTGGCATAAGGTGTTTTTTTTTAATAGATTGTAATCTACAGTTCTGGAAGGCAATCTATCAGTCTATAAACTGCTCTTGCGTACACACTGTAGTGTAAATGGGTTTCAGAGAGATATGTCTCCATGTCTTTTTTCCCATGACTTTCTCGTTATAGCTCTCCGATTATAACCAGGCCTGCTGGGAACTGTTTCAGCACTTGCCATGATAAAAACCATTCCCTCAGACTAGAAGAGAGGCAAATGGGAATGGTTAGACTTCCTAGTATGCTTGGAGAACATATATGTCAAACCAAAAGTTTGTATACCTCTCCTGAAGTGGGAAAGTTATGATTCCTTAACCTACAATTCTTTCTTTGGTTCTGAAACAGCGATTTTTTTTCTTTGCATCCTGTACTTCCATACCACCACTAGCCAAATTTCGATGGGATGCTTTTCTTTTCCCTGTTAAAGAGAATGTATGTATTTACTTTTTCAATGCTTATTTATCTATTTTATTATTTATTTTTGCATATTTTTATTGTTGTTCAAGTATAGTTGTCTCCATTTTCCTCCCACCATGCCCACCCTCACTCTACCCATCCCCACCTCCCGCCCTCCCACCCACCCCCTTTGGCTTTGTCCCTGTGACCTTCATACACGTTCCTTGATGACCCGCCATTACCCCCTTTTATCCCTCGCCTGTCTCCTCTCTGGTTACTGTCAGATTGCTCTTTATTTCAAGGTCTCTGGTTGTATTTTGCTTTCTCATTTGTGTTTGTTTTTATATTTTATATTAAAATACATGTAAGAATATATGAAATCATAGTTACATTAAGAACATTTCTAATTAATTTATAAATAATCCTTCCATAGCTTGACCTATAGAACAATCCTATTCTAAAAATAATTCTATTTTTAGCTTGACTAATTTTTCAAAAATATCCTTGTGGACAGCTGGTTCATAGATTTCCCTAACATTATTATTTACTCATTGCTCATTCTTCCTTTTCCTTCACAAACACTCTCTTTTGGATATAGTTTCAAACATAATTTGAGGTCTTCATATTTTGTCCACTATTTTTTACATAACATCTGGTAGCTCATGCTCAAGTTCACATATGGCTCATAGCAAAATACTCTAACATGATACTGCAGAGGAGTGAAGGCAAAAGCTGGCAGTTCTTGGGCCAAAGCCAGTGCCTAAATACATTGGCCTCCATCTAGGGAGAGTTTTTCAAAATGTGAGCCAATCCCCAGAAATTGAGAGATGTCAAATAATGAATCCAGACTCTAGTATAGTTCTGGAAAGTGAGGGGATCTGGCCACACTAGAACACCTCCTCTGTCATATGAAAAGCCCCTTCACTAGGCAAAAGAAGCTATCAGACCTGTTCAACAGCCTGTCTCGAAACCATTCTTAGGTATCTTTCATTCACTTTACCCACATGTTTATTTGTTACGCCATCTCAAGTTCAGTCCAGCTTGATTAGTATCAATATTATAAGTACCTGATCATGGCAACCTGCTCTTTATCAAAAAGTCTCTTAAAATGTATTTGCATAAATTTGCTCTTAAATTTTTACTTCACCTATTTTGGAAGTCTTTGTTTTAAAGTTAAGCTTAATTATATGCTTACTTCCTAAAACTTCCAAATGATATTGTGCATTCTAAGATAATTGATTTAAAATAAGATATTTATTATTAATGAATTTTGTGGGAAATACCTTGATGTACTAGAAATGTTAATCAAAATACTTGCTAAAGATATGCGCTGAATTTCATCCTAGAATTTGGAGCATCTGCTCTTTAAATGGATACACAAGTTTTTTTTCTTTTTGCTTCCTCTTAGGCGAGCCTCAGCCTACTAATCAACCATGCCAAAAAGAGGTAAAAGATCATGAAAAGGAAATCAAAGGAGACACCTCAGAGGCTGTGTTTCATCAAACTGGGGCATTAGGGAAATCTAAGGAAAATGGAGAAGAGCATATATCCGCTTCTATGAACGAAAAGCAGAGTTCCTTTTTCCTCCCTAAAGATAAGAAGCAACCTCCATCTGAGAGCAACATAAGAAGGGAGAAGGAAAATGGTGATTCTCTTCCATCCATTTCTCAGCAGCTACAGAAAGTCTTACCAGTGGTCATGTTTAATGACTGTGAAGAAACATTATCAGAAAAAATTACACTGCAGGATTTCCCAAACACAGTAGAAAGCTTTAGACCAGAAAAGGGGAAAACTATTACACAGGTAAAATGTGGGGATTTCAAAGTTCAAGTAGCACACAAGAATAGATTTTTCTGTAAAACAGAAGTGCAGTTCCCAACGAAAAAGAGATGTCCAAAATGTCACCAGTGTTACCCTGCCAGATGTATTCAAAGATGTTACTCCTCTAGAAGCTGCTCTTCTAAATACAAGACTATTTCGATAGAAGAAATAAAATCTGAGGTTCCATCTAAGCACGAAGGAGAAACTTCCAGAATGGAGAGCCCTGCATTGAAAGTTAGCATTGTAGGAAAAGGAATTAAAGTTAAATACATGAGTAAGAAACAGAATATAACAATTAATATAATTCACCCCAAAATAGGGGGGAAAACAGCTAAATACAGAAGTGCTTCCTCTGCTCACACCACTAAAGAACGTTCCAGGTTTTCTGTGCAGTCGGGCATCAGGCTGCCTGCAAAGTGGCAGCTGGAACACAAACATCAGAGTTCAGGTGGTCCTCAAGTGTCTTCTCCTATTGTGTTTGCTGTGCAGAAGGAGGAGAAGCATGACACAGCTGTGGTTTCTCTGTGCTCAACTCCCGAGAGGAAGGATGAGCCAGACCCACTGTCTGCAGTCCTGGGGGACTGGGAGTTAGAATCTGCCACCTCTCAGCAGAAGGACTTTAAAATTGGGCAGAATATGCCAGAGACCTATTTCTCTGAAGCTGAGACTCTTCTCAAAAATGTTTTTCATACTTCACATGATGCTCTAAAAACCACAAGTTTAAGTGAAACAGACTTAAGTAAAATGCCTTTTGAGGATCCTAAAAATGTAGATAGAGACAGAAAAATGAACTTTGATATCCCAGAAAATACCACAGCAGACTTGTATATACAGCAAAGCTCAGAAGGAATAAACTACTTGCCATGTACCATTACTAACATCTTCCCAGTTCAACATGGCAAAGACTCCGACTTTTATTCTTCATCGTCTCTGAATGCAAAGCACATAGGAGAAAAGGCAGCCAACATTTACTGCAAAGGCAGCAAAATAGCACCTGCAAAATATTGTGAGAACTCAAATTCCAAACCCTTCTCTTCTAGTCAAAACACTGTGATGCCTCCCACCCCATCCTGTCCACCCCACTGGGCCACCAGATATTCAGAACCTAAAGAAATCCCTGGAGATACATTTTCCTTTGATCACTGTGCAGAATTTGTGATAGACTTTGAGGAAGAGCAAGTTGATGTGACTGACAGAAATTGTAACAAAGCCACTTTGCATAGCAACTGTCATACAAATGCACAGCAACTCTTGGAAATGAAGAGTACGCAGCATCCAACTCCCAGCCTTGCACCTTCCTGCGAGCTCCCAGCTGGGAGCTCACTCAACAGCAGTAGCCACAGCTCTGTGCAGTGGGGTCAAACAGAGTCCCAGGCAACTCATGCAGATACAGCAGCTTCCAGCAATACAAAAGTGCCGGACGTGACCTCAATAACTGATGAGTTAGAGAAAATATTAATTATTCAAAGTGATAAAGAAGGTACAGTTGATTCTAATTGTCCCGTGGGAATGAAAAACCTTAAAGAGTCAGCCAGCTCTCTGGGAAATGTTGAAAGAGACAAGTTCCTCATGAGGCCAGTGGTAAAGAACATATGCCACAGAAACTTTGAAAACCTATCAAATGAGAATCATGATGAAGTCTGCTTCCAAATGGATTTTCCACCGAACACTGCTGAGTTCAGCTCTGCAGAGTGCGCTACAGATAATCTGTTTCTTATTGAGAAACCAGTGACTGGTGATGCAGACCAATACAGTAACCAAGATGAAATAAACCCAGGACTAACCAGTTTTAAACAGGAGGCAGCAGAGTGCCAAAGGATTGCCTCAATCAGGCCAAATTGTGAAGGAGATAAAAATGACCCACAGGAAAATTGCTATCACCAAATAGACACACTGCTCTCACCTCAGAAGCAGAAGGCTATGAAAGGTATGGTGTGCTACATAGAATCTTTCATGTTCTTTATTTTTACATGTTTGAGCTTTGGAAATTCTGAATGCTAGGGCTTTTCTTATTGCTTGGAATTTTTTTCTTTATTGCCAAAGATATATTGAGTATTTTAGAGTTAGATGAATACGGACAAGCATATATCACCCACTCCGCCCATAAATAGCACATAACAAAATCACCAAGACTACAGTTTAATATAAAGTAAAAAAAATCAATTTCTCTTTAAAAGGTTGACGTATTGCCAAGTCAATTTTGTGGGAGACATTAGCCTTTTGCCACTCTTAAATAATCTACCATTTCTTTCCTTCTTGCAAACTAAGCATGTTCGGAAGAATAGGAAAAATGTGTTATTGATGAAATGTGTTTTTAAACCTTGCTGTGGTGTCACAGAAGCATGGTGTACATGTCTCAGGAGGCCATATGGAACAGTAATTAAAGCAAAGGACAAAAACCAGAAATGGCCATGGCTAATCCTGACTGAGCCATCTATGGGGCCTCTGAACTCAAGCAGACCTCTGACCTCCCTTGTGCATTGGCTGGTCCTGCTCAAACCATTGACAGAACCCAGAAACTCTCCAGCCCTCAAGAGGGCTAAGATGGAAGCTTTTCCCTAAATATGTACCACTGCCCATCTGCTTTCAATCTTGGATCCTCACTATATCATTCTGGTCACTTCATAAAAAGCCCTGGCTGTTCTTCTCAGTAAGTCCAAAATATTTTATATTTAGCATTAGCATTATTACACACTGTGTATTAAATTATGTCTTGAACAAATAAAACCTTTATACTGCTAGTAACATTCCTAACTTGTCCAAAAATGAGATTTGGAATGACAGAACTTAATCGAGAAGCTCTCTTTTCTTTGCTGTCATTCTATCCCCCCATTTAAAATAGAATTAACAAAATTTAGACATGAAAATAAAATACAAAAATCACAGTCAATTACATAAGTGTTGGTATAAAATGCGAGATTTACTCTATGGAGAATATATGCCCTAAAACCACACAAAAATCTATGCAGTCATCTGCTTAATAGGAGCACCCTAAAGCAAAGGTCCACGGGTCACTGTGACTACTTCCCAGTGCCAGCACAGTTCCAGATACCAAGATGAATGACACTGATCCCAGCACTGGGTTCAGTCTGTAATTTTTAGGTCTGCAGAAAGTGGACTTGCAATAAGAGCATACCTCCAGAGCACACTCATGCTCAGCTAGATGTATATTTTTCCCACCCAGGCTGGCTCTCCTTCCCCCACAGATATGCCCCTCCCTGGAATGCCTCTTCCAGCAAAGCATATTTCCTTCAAAAAAATCAATAACTCAAGTCAGAATCCTCCCAAAGCTGATATACTACTTCAGTGGGCTTTGAAATTGTCACATTTGGTGAACCATTGAAGCTCCAGGTTCCCTGTGTTACTGTGATTATCGAAAGGCTGTTCCAATAAGTTACGGGTGGCTAACATGAGGCCCACACTCCGAACCAGCCCTCCACCTTCTTTTATCCGACCCAACACCTTGTTTCTACCTGGCGGCAGGGCCTAACTCCTTGTCCTTAGTTCAGGAGTAGTTACATTTTTACAGTCCTAAAATTACATTTGGCCCTTTGAAGGGAACTGTAAAGCTGATGTGGCCCACAGTGAAAACAAGTTTGACACCCCTGCTGGAGCTCTTGCTCCTTTATTCCTCTTCCCCCACCACTCTGTTCCAGCCACACTGACCTTCTTGAGCTGCTAGAACCTGACAGACAAGGTCTTCCATGAATCCCTTGTTTGAGCTGCTCCCACGAACTGAATCGCTTTCCCCCATGTGTCCACATGGTGTACTTCCATCTTTCCAAAGCTTTGCTCTCATGGTACCTTCTCAGTGACCCATTCTCAGACCACTCAATTTAAAACTTCAGTCTGAGCACCTCCCATCATAACCCAAGCATACTCTATCTCTTTCCCACGTTTCACTCCTACATACAGCACTTTTTACTTCTTAATACGCTAAATATTTCATTCATTCTTTTGTTCTGTCTTCTCCCACTAGAATGGAGTCATGAGGGTACGAATTTTTTTCTGGTTTGACCATTACTACATCTACACCACCAGATGGTATTGATCCTGTCATGGAAACACAATGAATGTTTGTTTAATGAAAGGATGAATTCAGTGAAGTCACATCAGGTTTCTTTGTGCAAAACTCTATTTACATACAAAAACAAAAAAGCTGAAAAATGGTTCAGAAATTTCAATGTTATATTAAAAGATATTTGAATCTATAAGTTTTGTATGGCTTTGACTCTCCTAGAGCTATGAATATTCTTATACTTTATTCAATACTATTGTTATCACACTGTTGATACCTCAGGGCAAGATTTTGTAATCTTCCAGGGTGTAGGTTGCCCTGAGAAACTGGGAAATCTTTGTACTGTTTCATCAGGAAATTATAAATTTGATATAAGCACAAACTTATACCTGTATTTTCAGACGGGTCCTTCAACTCCTCAAAGTCTGGCCAGATTAATAATCCCTGGCATGAGTGCTGCCTATAGCATTTACACATTGCACTTCTCTACACCCACGTGTGGGCCCTTGGGAATAAACTAGATTAGAGGTCACAACATGGACTGCCTACAGGAGCCAGGGATGTAATGTAAACCGGCAGAGCAGGCTGCCCGTGACAATAATGGAGCGCTGGCGAACTACAGGGAGCAATGTCCTGAGGGAGTAAGAAAGCGGGTCTGGTACGGTCAGGCTCTTTGAAGTTTCAAGATAGCTAGAGATCTGGATTTTTAATACATATAAATCTCTAGATTGTATGACTTGGAGGACAGTGCAGACTAAGCAATCTATGTAGTCTGAACTAAATAAACAAGAGGCTGGGCAATGGGCATGTGGTAGAAGGTAGAAAAGCCTGTGGCAAAAAGGAAAGAATACCAGCCTGAACTCCTCAACACCAAATTCTGGGTTCTTCCCCTGCCAGGTCAGGTCTGTGCATTCTTGAGTAAAGAGGTTTCTCAGGGACTCAATTCTTCAGTTGTAAATGGACTGAAATATATCTTTAAAATCTCTGCCCAAAAAGCCTCCGAAATTCTCTGTCAAAATAAAATTAGTGCCTGGCTGGTGTAGCTCAGTGGATTGAACTGAGTGGATTGAGCCTGTGAACCACACAACCTCGATTCCTGGTCAGGGCACATGCCTGGGTTGCAGGCCAGTTCCCAGCAGGGGACACATGAGAGGCAACCATACATTGATATTTTTCTCCCTCTCTCCTTCCCCTACCCTCTAAAGATAAATAAATAAAATCGTTGTTAAAAAGCTAAAGTTACTTTGTTCAGTGAATTAAAAGGAAGATAGATTTTTTAAAATAAAATAAAAAATAATATTAGTGGAAAAACCAAAACTAGGCTACTCTGAGAGAGCAAGAGATAATGAGAAGGATTAAACAATATTTTACACAGCAAAGGAATATTTATAATTAAACATCCCTTTGTATGTAGTATGATAAAAATACTTACATACATCGTGCAAGGTATTCTGTTTCCCTGTGTTCTTAAGAAAGTAGTGATTTGAAAAGTCCACACCAAGACAAGGAGGTATGGAGGACTGCAGCTTTGAGAAATTTGTGGTCCCAAAGTGTGCGCCAAGCACCAGGGATGAAAAGATGAATTTTAAAAATGTATTTTCTGATAGCAGAATACAACTGTTGAGACAATTTCCAACATGTTTACTTATAATGAAATTGGAGACTTTCCGCACTGGTGCCCATTTCAACACGTCTCAGTAGATAAGCAAGTCCAGTGTCCAGGGGCCAGGGGCCGGGGCCAGCTGCAATGCCCATGCTGGCTTCCATCCAGGCTCCTTCCAGATCTGCATTTTCTTCTCCTTGGCTTCCAACTCACTTTCCAGGCCTGCCTCTGCCTTTCAGCGTGGTAGCTTTCTACTTTCATACTCATGTTTCATAAACTATTAGTATGTCCTTTAATGGACTAACATATTATTCCTCCAAAGTGACAGTATGTATTTTAACAGAGTCCTTCAAGAAACTTGAGTGTCTTCATTTGAGCCCCAAGCAAATTGCCTGATTCCTAAAATGCCTCAATAAACATATATTGGGTAGCTATGGAAGGAGGGAGAGAGTTACATGTGAATGAAGGTTACTGAGATGTAGATTCATTTCACCATGGAAAAACTTTCTACCACTTTGAAGTATCAATAATTATGCTGATTCAAGTAGTAAACAGGTAGCAAATTTGAGTCTGAGAAGTGTTCGAGCTTAGATTAAATGACTACTTGGTAGAAATTATGTAGAAGTTTCTAAGCATTAAGCACATAAGGATGCTTGGGCCCAGTTACTTTCTATATTTTTGCAAACTTGAGATTCTATAAATAACAAGCAGGACCGTGGGAGTGATGCTTTGTAGTCAGTGGCCATTACAAGTGGTTCTCAAATCAAACTTCAAAACATACTGTAGGGCACATACTTTTTCCTTATTTGAGCATATAAGAAGATATCCTAGACAAAAACTTTTCCCACCATACCACAGGGCCATATTTCCATCACACGCTTTCCTAAGCCCGTAGGACTTCCTTTTTCTCCAGCAATTTCAGAAAAGAACCACTTTTAAATATAAAATATTTGACATTAGAAAATTATTCTTCTCGTGGATGCCTTCAGAATTAACCTGGACTCTCTGTCTCTACAAATAGTGGAACTACAATCCCACGGCTCTGTAAAGTTGCAGGGTACAAGGCATCTGGTTCACAGCTATAGACCAAGTAAGCAGCCGGTGGAAATTAGTATATAAAAAGTGAGCAGTAGTAAATATTATAGAATGAATGTCATTTTTCTGTTACCCTCTTACTTCCCAGGGGAGAAGTAGGAGTCAACATAGAGTTGTTGAAAATTAAAGGGATTAGATAATGACTCTTCTCCCATCAGTGTCTTTGGCCCTGACAAGTAAAACTTAAATTTTTATGCAAGGATCACTAATAATTATACATAAAAATAAAGAAGATTTGTGGATATATTTTATACATTATTTAAATAGTTCTGAGAACAAACTTCTATACTGATAAATTAGATTTTAATTTACAAAGTCCAGATTTTAAAAACTCATTTGCCTCTGGGAATAGAGTAAAAATAAAGGTTAATAGTCAGTCTCTTTTTAAATTAATATTATTTACCTTTTCATATAGTACCAAAAAGTTAAAGCAAGTAAAATTTCAATCAATTCTAACCTATCAAATTACTTTCTAGGTATTACATGCTCTGCTACTTAGACTTACTTTTACTTCATTTTTTTAGCTATTTTCTTAAATTACTTGTGTTGCTATTAGTTTATTTGTAACTTTCTTTCTTTTAATTAGTACACAGCACTGTAGCTTGTGATGACAGAAGGCAGAAGTTTTTCAGTTATTGTTATTTATTGATAAGTTATTAAGCTGTGATTTATTCAAATATAAAATTATCAAAACCTGCATGCACCGTGGCCTCTTTTCCTCTTTTCCTGATTTTGAAGCAACATGCAGCAAGAAAAGTATCATGAACTTTTTTATTCTTAAGATTAATGGAAATCAAACCATAAAGGATTTGAGTTCAATAGTAAACTTATTATCATAGATTGTATTATAACTTGTTTAGGTAATAATATCTTGTCTTATTGAGAATTCAGGGGGCATAATTAAAAATTTATTTGCACTTTGCTCCTTCAGAGTAACTAATTGATATAGTATTTTATGTACTACTGGTGCACAAGGCGTATCTGTTGAATTGACCCAACTGAGGCAATGGATCTGTGATCCCTCTTTTCTATATAAATCAATTTTTATATTATATGGCTCTTTTTTTAAGTAAAACAAGTTCAGAAAGTGAATCAGGAAGAAGGTAAACGAGATTAATCTAGTTCTAGTATCAGTGATTCTGTTTTAAAGATTGGAATATTTGAAATTCTGTCTTGAAATAATGTTTCACTTTCATATATAATGTGGTTTAATCTAGATTGGAATTTGGAAATAAACAGCATCCTCAAATTACCCCTGGAATTGGCTCCAAGAGGTACAAGGGCCAGTGATGGTTCCCAGGAGGAGGCAATAGACCAGTGGGCCAGGAGGAGGCAGCAATTCAAAGACAGCAAAAGATGCAGCTCAGCAGGGGGAAGTTCATTTGCCAGCAACATCACGGAAGGATCCAGTGAGTAGACAATCACTTTTATCTCCAAAACCAGAGCACAGGCAATAACTTATGGAAACTTAACCACGTCCCCTCCCTCTCATCTCCAGAATACAAACTCTGTTGTTTGAACGTGGCAATGTGATAATTATATGCTTTTATATGAAAGATATTTTTGGAAGAATCAACTCTTTATTACCCACTAGGAATCCCAACTTGGTGAATTATCTCTTTCAAAACATACAGCTGCTTACTAAGACTGCTTTTTCCTTCAGAAACTGAAATAACTAAATATAGGGTTCTTTACTGAATTAAATTTGTGTCCTACTTCAAAAAATCAGAGTTGGCTTGAAGTATGTACATGGTAAGATGACAAGATTGACATGCTTGATTATAAGAAAGAATTTTGTTCTTCTTTCAACATTTGTGAAATAAGGAAATGTCTTTAGATGTATACTTTAATGAGATAATGTTTCCCTCAATAATGAAAGGGTTCCATTAAATTAATGTTATACTGCAGCCCATAATTAATGGCAACTGACAAGGAAAGATAGGCCATCACTGAGGAAGTCCAAATGAAGAAGAAATAGGTTGAGAAAGTAGAGGACAGCATTAGAAGACTTAGTACATACCACTACTTATCTGGTTCCAAACCTCTAAAAGCCGAAAGCCAAACTTGTAGAAATAGAAAGTAAATGATGGTACCAGGTTTTGGGGAACGGAGTATGGCACAGATGTTAAGGTACAAACTTGAACAAGTAGTTAATAAGTTAAAGAGACAAAAAGCACAGAAAAATAAATACAGACACCAATATTGTATTGTAATATTCAAAGTTGCTAAGAGACTATGACTTAATTATTCTAACCACTAAAAAGAAAAGATAATTATATAATATGATAGAGGTGGTAATTATCACTATAATGGCAATCATTACAATGTATAAATGTACCAAATTAAATCAAATTTATACAGTGTTATAGGTCAAATATATTTTAATAGAAAAAAAACTTTCTCAAATGTATCTTCTGCTGTGTCTTAACTCCATGGCTTACAGAGTGACTCTAGAATTTAGTTATTTCCTGGTTATTAGTCTACTGAAAATTCTCCTCTTGCTTTCAAACACCTCTATAGATCTTACTTTCTATCTCCTTCTTGATTTTCATTTAGACTTTCAAATGCCTCTTTCTTTTAGCATGCATAAAAATATAGCGGCATCCCCTGCTTCTATGTATGTGTAATTGAATTTACCATAGTGTTCATAAATTTTTTAAACCTACAAGAATTAGGACCTGTCCACATACGTGTTTTCTAGCATTCCTATCAAAATGGAAGACATTGTTTGTGCTTATTCCACTATCTTGAACCCACATCTGCAAATAACTTCCATAGGTAGCTTGCTTTTTTACTTTCTTCCACCTTACTTTCTGTCCCGGAAGTCTGTCTTCTGTGGATTATATCCAGGGGCTTATATGTCCTCTGGCTTCCTGTGGGGCTTGACCAATAGAAAGATGAGCAGAAGCCTGGAGGGAGTGAAGACACTGAAGAGAGTGAAGGAGTGAGGAGAGGGCGGCAGTGAGGAGAATGGAGAGAGTGAGCACCAGAGCCACCTACCCCCATACATCCTAGTCTGAATTCCATGACCTTATCCCAAGGCTTTCATTAATACAACATTACTTTGCAGGAAGCTCTTGACCAGGCAGATATTTTTATTGTCACTACAGAAACTCCCCACCAATGTTTGAACAGAAAGCACCAACATACAGTTTTTTCTCTTCGTCTCTTTGAAACCCTCAAAATTCTCACCTTGCCATGTCTGTAAGTTCTAACCTGTTAAGTCATGATTCTGACCCAATCTTTATTGAGGTCTCACTTTGAAAGATCTGCCTTAAACCCAATTCTATTTATCAATAAAATTGGGCTTTGCCTCAGATCTTTCCCTGTGGTGTACCAAGGGCTGGTTTTGTCTCTCAAGCCAAACTCTTGTTAAGTTGCCCTCCCCACACAGCCTTCTGTGTCTCTGGCTCTGGTCATTGGTACCTGTTCTGCCTCCCTTACCCATTCAATGTTAAATGGACTAGTCTTTTAAAAATATTTTATTGATCACACCATTATAGTTGTCCCAATTTTTCTCCCTTTGTCCCCTCCACCCAGTACCCCCCACTCCCTCAAGAAATCTCCACACCTTTGTCCATGTCCATAGGTTATGCATATAAGTTCTTTGGCTACTTCATTTCCTGTATAGTACTTTACATCGCCATGGCTAGTCTTTGACTACTTATTTGTACTTCTTAATCCCGTTACCTTTTCATTCATTCCAACCCCCTCCCATTTGGTAACCATCAAAATGTTCTCTATATCCATGATACTGTCTCTGTTCTTGTTTGCTTAGTTTGTTTTTTAGATTCAGTTGTTGATAGTTATGTATCTATTGCCATTTTATCATTCATAATCTTGATCTTCTTTTTCTTAAATAAGTCCCTTTAACATTTCATATAATGGTTTGGTGATGATGAATTCCTTTAGTTTTTCTTGTCTGGGAAGCTCTTTATCTGCCTTTCAATTCTAAATGATAGCTTTGCTGGGTACAGCAGTCATGGCTGTAGGTCCCTGCTTTTCACGACTGTGAATATTTCTTGCCGCCAAAACCTTCTAGTTTGCAAAGTTTCTTTTGAGAATCAGCTGATAGACTTTGGGAACTTTCCTGTTCCCCAAAACTAACTGCTTTTCTCTTGCTGCTTTTAAGATTCTCTCTTTACATTTAACCTTTGGGATTTGATTATGATGTGTGTTAGTGTGGATATGTTTGTATCCACCCTGTTTGGGACTCTTTGTGCTTCCTGGACTGACTTGTCTATTTCCTTCACCAAACCAAGGAAGTTTTCTTTCATTATTTTTTCAAGTAGGTTTTTAATATCTTGCTCTTTCCCTTCTTTTGGCACACCTATGATGTGAGTATTGGTATGCTTGCAGTTGCCACAGAGATTCCTTACACTATCCTTGACTTTTGGATTCTTTCTTCTTATGGTTCAGCTTGTATATTTTTTTGTTTTCTTGTGTTTCATATCACTGATTTAATTTTCAGCTTCATACTCTCTACTGTTGATTCCCTGTAAATTATTCATTTCCATTAGTATATCCCTCATTTCTGCCTGGGTCTTTTTCATACTGGTGAAGTACTCACTGAGTTCCCTAAGCACCTTATAACCAGTGTTTTACACTCTGCCTCTGATAGATTGCTTGTCTCCATTTTGTTTAGGTGTTTTTCCAGAGTTTTGTTCTGTTCCTTCATTTGGGCTTTATTTCTTGTCTCCTTATTTTGACAGCCATCCTGTGTTTGTTTCTGTGCATTAGGAGAGAGCTGCTTTGACTGCCTGGCTTGGTAGTGTGGCCTGTTGGGCTCAGTGGCACAGCCTCCCCCAAAACTGAAACTGGGAACTCAAGATGTACCCTCTGTGTGGTCTGAGTCCACGCTCCTCATGTAGTTGAGCCTTGATTGCTTTCGGCAGATCTATGGGAGGGATTTACCCAAGCCAGTCAGCTACAAGGACTGTCTGTGACCACTGACCACCAACCTCTGCCCTCTGCAGAAGACCAGCTGTTCGTTGGCTGGGTGGCAGTGCTCTGGCGTGGTCTGTAGCTGTCTAGTGGGTATGCAGGCTCTGGGGTTTGCTAGGTAGCACAGGTCAGGGTCAGTCACTATCTGTGTTCCACCCAGGACCACCCAGCATGAGCTACAAAGTGATCTGCTGATGGCTGCTTCTTGTGTTGGGCTTGGAGGTTCCTAGGTGGAGCCAAACTGTGATCCAAAGCTGGCTACTGCTAGTGCTGGGCCTGGAGCCACTTAAACAGAGGCAGGAAGGCTGGGGGTAGCCTGTAAGTTGGGTTTGTGAGAACCTCACGTAGTCACCTGGGTGGGTCAAACTGGAAGCCAGGTTGATGGAGTCTCAGATATGGCTCCAGCCTACCTGTTCTGTGCCTCTGGGTGGGGGAGGGCTCAGAAGAGGCACAACGGCCTCAGCCCATCTTTCTGTCTGGGAGGAAGCTGTCTCCCAGCTCTCACCCTACTGCCAGACACTTCAGTTCTTCCCTGTAAGCCACTGGTGCCTTTCAAGCTGCTACCATAGTGGTGCAGTATGTCTACATAAGTTCGGCATGGGCCGTTCAAGAGGAACTGCCAGGCAGTCCAGTAGTTTGTTTTTTGTTTTTGTTTTTTTCACTAACTCAAATCCTGCTTATTTTTACAGCCAGAAGTTATGGGGACTTATCCTCCTGGCACTGGAACCTGGGGCTGGGGGGCCTTGTGTGGGACTGGGACCCCTCACTCCCAAGGTATTCCTCCCAAATTTTTATCCACCACACCTGGGTGTGGTGACCCACCCTTTCTGCATCTCCCCATCTCCTACCCTTCTGGATTGATGTGGTTTCTTTAGTTTCGTAGTTGTCAAACTTCCATTCGACTCTTTTTCTGACGATTTCTGTAGTTTGTTGCAATTTTGATGTGGTTACGTGAGGAGGTGAGTCATGTTTACCTATGTCTCCTTCTTGACCAGAAGTAAATGGACTATCTTAATTCAACTATGTAACATCAGATTTCCTGAAATCCTATTCACACTTTATAAATAGCATTTTTATTAAACTGTCCATAAATTACTCATTTGACTGTGACACCTATTTTATGCCATAGCCCTATGTTATACTAGTGCTCAGTTCTCAAACCACAGCAATGATCAAACTTCACGGATACTACACATCGGAGGCAGAACTGTTTACTGCTTACAGAGATAAGGGAACACAGCCCATCAACAGAGTTTTGGTAATGACTCAAAGGGCAAAGACAAAGTTGATTTTATTGAGAATTAGAGGTTTTGTTCTCAGTGTACTAAAATCTTCCTTAGTCTTAAGGTAAATAAATAGCAGACATTTCACTTAGATGAATTCCCCAAACTGGATTTTCTAGACAGCAGTGTTCTTGAATTGCTGCCAATTAAGTGTTTCATGGCCTTTTGTTTAATAAACTTAC